CAATAAGAAGTATCTTTACAAAAAGGGAAATGGGGCCAGTGACATGATTCCCGGGATAATGGCTCTTGTGCATGAGCCTGACAACCTGAGTCTGACCCCCTACACCTACATAAAAAGGAAGGACAACTCCACAAAGTTGTTCTCTGACCTTCACATGTGTACAAACACACATACACTAAACAAGTGACATTTTTTAAAAAGATTTTATTTATTATGTATACAACATTCTGCTTCCATGTATATCTGCACACCAGAAGAGGGCACCAGATCTCATAATGGATGGTTGTGAGCCACCATATGGTTGCTGGGAATTGAACTCAGGACCTCTGGAAGAACGGACAGTGTTTTTAACCTCTGAGCTATCTCTCCAGCCCCAACAAGTGACATTTTAAAAAGGAAAAGCATTATTGAAAATAAATGAATAGGATAAGTCTGGGCATGATGGTGTCCCAAGCTGAGTCTGTCTGGTGACAAGGCCTGAGCGACCTTCTAGAAGCCTCCGGTGCTAGCAAACCAACCAAGCCTGAGGTGTCAGACTCAAAGCTTGCCTCTTCCATGTATCCATGAGCATGGCACACACCATGGAGAGGGGGGTTCTCATACCTTTCTCAGTTATACAAGTCACTTATGTGACCTGAAAGGTATGGGGTCCCTTCCTCAGCAAGCAGGCCTTCGGTGGGCACTAGCAGGGGTTTTTCTCATCTAACTTAATTCTGACACTGCAAGGAGGCAGAGGAAGACCTCACAGGTTGAGGGCTTATCCCCAAGACTACCACATCCCCTAAGATTGCACGTCTGTGTTGGTGAGCCTGTGCTTCTAACAATTCTGAAGCTTGGTGAATCGGCTACGAAAACCGTTTACCAACCTTAACTAGTTTTTCTGCTTGCTTTCTGTGGTGCTGAGGATGGAACCCAGTGGTCTACCACAGAGCTATCCATACCCTTCGACCCTTGAAGGATTCTGTAAAGGACACAGATAAAGAGACAGATGCTCAGAGTGAGGCCTGGGGAAAGAAGGGACATGAAGCTATGAAGCTTCCTAGCCCTCTCTGGGTGCCAGCATTCACCCAGGTGTTCCTGGGCTTGGCTGACCAGAAGCTCCTTGAAATAATCCTTTTCTTTTTCTTTTAATGGAGATAGTATCTCAGGTGGCCCAGGTTGGCCTCCAGCTAGCTACATAGGATGACCTTGAACTCCTAATCTTCCTGCCTCCATCTCCTGAGTGTTGTGATTATAGTCATCACTACTACACAGGGTTTATGTAATGCTAGAAATCGAACCCAGGGTTTTGTGAATGCTAGGCAAGTGCTCTATCAACTGAGCCATCTCTCTCAACCCCTTACTTATATGGAATTTATATGGAGGTTTCATTGCAGGGCCTTGATTGAAGCCTGAATGACTCCATGCGTAGAAAGTACGGCCTGACAAAGAGGCTGACTGAGAGGGTCCTAATGAGGCTTCAGCTCACATCTTCCTTGAGCATCCCCATCTCCTCTCCAATATGGACCCATTACAAACACAAGATCAGATGAGGTAGTGCACAGAGATTTTGATGCACAGCTCCCAGACAGAGGTCAGGGAGGTCAGAGTTTGGATGGCCTGCCTTGGGAAGGAAGTTTGAAGCAGGAGAGAAAGCAACACATGTATGTCAAGATATCACAGAGACCATACATAAGGTACAGTGCAGAGTGGACATAAGGGAAGGAGACATTCTAGCTTTTACTTCAGGTGGCAGGGCTGGGGACTTTCTACTTGAAGATGCCTTTCACTGTGGGGCTCCCATAGTCACTGTGACAGACTGATATGGGAAGGGGACATAGGTGTTCTTTTGTTGTCACTGTTTATTGAAACAGAATCTTTTTTATAGCCCAGGGTAGCCTATAGCTCACTATATAGTCCACATTGGCCTTGAACTTATGAACCCTCTGCTTCCATTCCAGATGCTGGAATTTCAGATATGTGCCATCACACCTGGTTAATGTGGTCCAGAAATTTTGAATGACGGTGTAGCCTACTCATTCTGATCTGAATCAGGGTGCTAAGAGCCTACTGGTACCCACCCTATCAGGGACCCCCATGGGTTTACCAGGTAGAACTCTCTGGAAGGTGTTTGTGAGTGAAGGTGGAACATTAGTTACTGCATCAGGCAGCTGATGTGTGGTGATCTGAACTTGTTTGGGGTGGTTGAGGCAACTGTGGGAGGGAAACTTGGCCAGACAGTGGGTGAAAGCTGGGGGCATGGGAATGTCCCCATCACCCCAGAGAAGAACTGTTAGCTATGCTCTTTGGGGCTCATACCCATCCTGTTTCTGTTTCAGGCCCCTTGGTGCCTCACATCCCATCTGGCACTGGAACTTTGCCTGTGGGCTCAACCTGCTGATACCTGGGGCTTGTAAAAACAAACATTTTCAAGCTTTAGATAAATGATTTGATTTTATACTTAATCATATTGTAAACATTCAACTTCAAGGCCTCCAGGTACCGCTTTTAGAAAACTTTCTACCTCTAGATCTGTCTCAAATAACCAGGAACAGCCCTCCCCGCTCCCCCCCCCCCAACCTCCTTGGCACACACAGCTTTGGGCCTGTGAGAACAAAAGCAGCCGGGCCTGACCTAAAACAGCTGCTGGGAGAAGGCACTGGATCAGAGAGAGGTAGCATGTGGGACACCACCATGAACCTAGGTCTGTGAGTGCATTTGACAGACATACGAATAAGAGCTTAATCTAAAGCCCCATGTGTAGCAAAGGCCAGGGTAACCAAGTGTTGAGAGTGAAAATAAGAAAATACATGCAGAGGCTGGGGGTGTAGCTCAGCTAGGAGAGTATGTTCCTAGCACACCTGAGATCCTGAGTTTCATCCTCAGGACCTCAAAAACCAGGAGTAATGACAAACCCCTGTCACTCCAGCACTGGGGAGGCAGAAGGAGGATCAGAAGTTCAAGGTCATTCTCCCTTACATCGAAAGTTCAAGGCTGGCTTGAACTCTGTGGGGGCCTGTCTCAAAAGCAAAACAAAAAATAACAAAAGACCCCAGCGTGTCTCTTGTACCCAGTACTCAACATGCCTTTCCTGAGTTTTCTGGGACCTTGTTATGCTTCAGAAAGCAAAGCTGCTCCTCAGCCACCCAGGTGACCTTCATGTCTAGCCCAAGTAGTGATCATCAGCCTTGTGGCATCCAGTGACCAGAGGACCTGAATTTGATCTCATGTCCCAGAGGACATTCCAAGGTGTAGGCAGCTTAAAGCCGATCTAATGCCTACATCTCCCCTCAGGACTCATCTGAGCACAGTCAGAGGCTCCTAAAAGGCCACACCTCAAGTTTTACCATGGTCAATGTGAACCCAGATGAGACCTCAGGCCTTTGCCACAGCTGATTGGTGCTCTAGTCTATTAACATACCTGCTTGCTCACTAAGGCTGTGGGTTACATTGCTCCTTTCCCAGCCACCACCGCTGTTTCCTTTCTCAATTCCCAAGTTTTGGAATCATGGGTACTTAGCATCAATCCCAGAAGTTGTTTCTTTTCCCTCAGATGACATTTTTAATTATAGGAGAACCCTTGAGCAGGTGTTAATGCATGCTTCTTCTAGACCATTTCAGTCTGTCTCAGAAGTAAGCTATTTTCCCTACATGTATGTTGTGTGACTGTGTGTATACATGTTTTTTTTTCATGTGTGGGCACAGGTACATTTGCACATGTATGCATGTGGAGGCCCAAGGTTGATGTTGAGACCCACCTTCCATTGTTCTTCAACCATATTCATTAAGGGAAGATCTCCCTTTTATTCATTGAGTGAGGGCCTCCTCTTTATTCACTGAGGGAGGGTCTCCCTTTGTTTATTGGGGGATGGTCTCTTGCTAAACCTGCAGCTTGCCAATTCCAGTTAGTCCAGTTAACCAGCTTGCTCTGGGCCCTGTCTCTGCCTCTCCAGGGCTGGGATTACAGACAGCTGCCATACCCGATTGGCTTATCGGGTTATGGGGATTTAAACTCATGCTTGCATAGTAAATGGTTTATCAACTAAGCCACCTCCTCAGTCCAAGAATCTTAATATTCTTAAGTGATTTTAAAAAATTAGAATTTTTATTTTCTGTGTGTGAGAGTTTTTAAGGCATGTATATATATTCACCCTGTGTATGCCTGGTGACTACAGAAGTCAGAAGAGGGTGTCAGATGCCCTGGACTCAAGTTACAAACAGTTGTAAACCTCCAAGTGGGTGTTAGGAACCAAACTGCAAGAGCCCTAAGTAGTCCTAAGTACTGAACCATCTCTCCAGCCTCCTAAAATGATTATTATTTTTTTAAAGCAAGTTACAAAAACTAGGAAATAAGTAAATCTACAGAATTCAGAATAAAATCCTTAAATGGTTACACCCAATCAAACAGGTAGAGTTGTTGGTAGCTCGGGAGATAGTCTGGTCAGCAAATGCTTGGCTTGCGACTATGGGGACTTGAATTTGATCCCCAGAATCAATATACAAAAGCCAGATGTGGTACAGCACACTTGCAATCTAAGCACTAGGGAGGCAGAGACAGGCAGATCCCTGGGATATGCTATCCAGCCAGCCTCACCTATTTGGTGAGTTCCAGGCTAGTGACGGGACCCATCTCATAAAATAAGAAGGTAGATGACTGCTGCAAACAACACCTCAGGTTGTCCCTTGGTCTAAACATACATGTGCACACTTACGGGGGTTCATATCAAGTTTGTATAATTTGTGATTGGTTGTAACTCCCAGTATTTGAACACATTTATAAATAACTTGTGTTTTTTTGTTTATTTGTTTCAAAGTTCTGAGTGTCATAGTTTTGGTTTTCTGTTTCTCTTCTTGCTCTCTTCCTTGAAGTAACATGCACAGGTCTCTTTGGGTCTCAGGAATAGTTGACAGTGCATTTATATTGCCTGAAAAAGAAAGCTCATTCATATGTGAAAATGACAGGGAAGACCTCATTTGTGCTTTTGTCTCAATGACAATCCTGTCTCTTTGTGTCTTCCCAGATCACATGGCAAAGGAGCCAGTGGAGGACACAGACCCCAGCACTTTATCTTTCGGCATGGTAGGTAGCAATTTTTACTTTGACTCTTCATGCCTTGTTATGTCACACTGTAGTCACCAAGCATTTCCAGGAAATCTCAGAAACCCCAAAGTAAGATTTTCCTAAGATAGACCTCCTTCTCATGGGATTCTCTGTGGTTTCATCATCTCCAGGCTAAAAACAGTGTTAGAACATGTGTTGGAGGTGTGGCTCAGTGGACAGAGTACCTGCCCAGCATACACAAAGCCCTGGGTTTGATCCCCAGTACTATATAGACAGATAAGGTGGTGCACACTTGTAATCCTAGCACTCTGTAGGTGGAGGCAGAGGATTGGGAGTTTAAGGTAATTTTCAGCTATATAGCAAGCTTGAAGCCAGCTTGAACTACATGAGATCTTCTCTGAAACAGCACCAAAGTGGTGTTAGATCCTCTTCTTGCTTCATGCATACCAAAAGTGACCTTCTTAGATGTTCCTAGGTCTTTGTCTGGTGCCAACTTTTAATACTATCTATTTTAGTTAACTTTCAGCATTCAAAATATACTATGGAGTACTGTCTCAGTTTTCAAACTAAGGACAGAGTCCTACAACTGTGAATATTGACCCAAATGACTGTCACAGAAATGGCAAGAAGAAATATGAACTCCCAGAATACACAAAGACAAAAATCTGAGCATAAGGCTGCAGGAAGTTGAGAGGAAGAATAGCACAGCCCAGAAGGGAGGAAGTGTGGTTTAGCGGTCAGAGCCAAGGAAGTTAAGAGGGGATTATTTTGTTTCATGTTCCAACATTAACCTGTTGACTCTGAATTCATTCCTATCTCTGAAGAAAAACAGTGAGTCAGGCCTACTGATAAGCCTGAGGCTAAAGACCTGGAAGGTTTAATTTTGCTTTATACTGCAACCCTGGGGATGGAGCCCGGGGCCTTCTGTATACTAGGCAAGCACTTTGCCGATGAACTAGCTACCCCCAGCCTGCTTCCAACGTTTTAAACTGAAACCCAACACAAAGCTCTCTTTTCACTTTGATCTCAGAACTGACATATAAAATAACTCTCTGCTTTTGTCCGTTTCTGCAGTCAGACAAGTATCCCATTCAAGACACCGGCCTCCCTAAAGGTAAGAACAGTTAATGGAAGGACTTCAGCTTGTGACTAATAGAGTATCTGGAACAAAGCACTGTTCAAAATATAGTTCTCCTTATTGAAGATGGTAAAACAGAAATAGACCAATAAATTAGCTCGAGGCTGGCTACACAGTTGTCCTCAGAAATGAATTTTCTTATTAAAACATGTCAATCATTTTATACCAGATTATAAATTGTATTTGCCAGGCATGAAATAAAGTCAGCGGGTTCTGTGTTCAAGGAACAGAACTGACTCAAATTTGGTTTTGTTTTTTTTTTTTGTTTGTTTGTTTATTTGTTTGTTTTTCAAGACAGGGTTTCTCTGTGTAGCTTTGGAGCCTATCCAGGCACTCGCTCTGGAGACCAGGCTGGCCTCGAACTCACAGAGATCCGCCTGCCTCTGCCTCCCAAGGGCTGGGATTAAAGGCGTGGGCCACTAATGCTGGGTTCAAATTTGTTTAAGAAGGAGGGGAAGAGTTGGGTGCTGTGGCTCATGCCTGTAATCCTAGCAGCATTTGGAAGGCTGAGAGAGGAAAACTACTATGAGTTTTTGGGCAGACTGGGCTACATAATACGTTCTAGGCCAGCGTAAGCTATAAAGTGAGACTTTAAGTTCTAGGCCAGACTGGGCTATAAAGTTAGACTGTTTCAAAAACCAAAGGAAAAAAAAAAGATATAGAAATAGAGAAGAAAAGAAGGAAGGAAAAGACTGGTTAGCTTAGGGGTATCAAGGGGCTTCTGGACCCACACATTTAAGGGTGTTCTTTGTTCAGCCCATTGACCTCATGGCTTTGCTTTCTTCTGTGCTACCCTTGTTCTTGGGTGAGACTTACTGCTGAGGAAGGCAAGAGTGTCTAAGCTGCTGTTCAAGATGGTGGTGGTCAGGGACCTCCTCAGAGCTATGATTCAGGCAGTGTGGGTCACATGCCCATCCCTGAATCAGTGTCGTCATCGAGAAGATGAGCAATGTGAGTGAGTCCTGAGCCCTGGCTCAGGAAGACCTAGAATAGATTTCATTGAAACCCAACAGTGTTCTGCGGCCAGACAAACAGCAAGGGATTCTTGTCAGGCCCCAAAGTCACCCCCAAAGTTGTCTTTTATAACCTGTAGCCCCAAGTTCAAACAAGGATAGGATCAAAAGTGACCCATGGTCCTGTGGGGTGTCTGCAAAGCCATCATGTTGCTTGTTATATCACAACATTGACTTGTACCCTGTGGACAACCCAGAGATGAGGGGACAGGGACAATCAGATCATCCCAGATCTAGAGATGGCAGGGCATCTGGCTGTCTGGTCTCTATGCAGAGGTGGCCTGTGGAACCCCTGCCCAAATTCCTAATATGTTCCCTGGCAGTGGGAATGGAGAAGAGATTTCCACCAGGGCCATCAATGGATAAGTCCAGGTTTCAGCCAAGGCACTGCACTGTCCCTTCTCTGGCCCCAAGATCTCCTGTCCCTTAAAGTGACATCATTAATGTGTCAGTCCTCTTCTATATACTGTGCATGGTCCTGGAGTGACTGTGGGATCCAGGAAGAGGCCAAAGTCTGGCTTGAGTGTAAACCATAGCTGTGTTTTGGGGATTTCTAGAAAGCTCCCTTACCCTGCATCTTCTCAACAGGTAAACTATCCTTCATCTAGAGCTCCTATTTTCTAGCTTATTTATTTAAACTTTAAAGTTAACATACAAAGTGATGAGTTTCATCATGACATTGCCTTACATATGTGTCATTATACTGTATTCTAACTTCCTGTCCCTTGCAGTCTCACTCCCTCCTCCCTCTAGCTAATCTACTTTCTTCCCCCAGATATTCCTTCCCAATTTCATGTTACATGTATTCCATTAACCTGTTTTTCCTTTACACACACACACACACACACACACACACACACACACACACACACACCACAGGCGCGCGCATGCATGCACATATTTTTTTAAAAAAGAATTCAACAAAGATCCAGGTTCTAGACCACATTCTAATGAACATGAGCACTAGATGGGAATGGAGGGAAGACTGACCCAAACCCCACAGAAATCAGTTTGGGCACTGTCAAAGGCTTCTAAGTAGACTGGCCAAGGGGGGACACTTGTATATATGTCATAAAGGACTTTTCTTCTTTGCTCTAGAATGTGATTTCTTGTTTTGAAAGGAAAAGATCGCTGCTTAGAAACCCGATCCTGCACTAGAAATAGGGTCAGGTTCCTCCTAGAATCTGAGCTTTACACATCTTTAGTTCAAGTTGTCATGCCTTTATGAGAGGCATGTTGAAACAACACAGCAGACCTTCTCTTTGTCCTATGTCACAGGGAATAATATAAAGTGCATAATTTTTACGTCTCCAAATAAATGCACCGTTTTGTAGGTAAATAAATCTTGGTTAGAAGTTTTAAAATTTGAATTCAATAATAAGGAAATTTAATGTCTGATAGTGTTTTCCTTTATCTTCCTCAAAGGAGGACAAATCCATCATGAGATGTTTCGGATAGTTTTCTCATGGAATTTGTTCTTTAGGAGAGGGGAATGGAGGAGGACAGCCCAAAGGGGGAATAACAGCAAAGTATAATTATGCTTATGTTTGAAAATGTACCACAGTGAAATCTGTTACTTTATGTGCTGACTAAAGAGTTAATGAAGGGTTGGGGAGATGGTTCAGCCCACAAAGTGCCTGCTTCATAAGCTTGAGGACCAGAGTTCAGATCCCAGCACTACATATAAGACAGGCATGGGGATTTGAGTCTGCAAGCCTAGTACTAGGGCTTTGGATAAGGAGGATCCCCAGTGCTCAATGGTCAGCCAGCCTAGTTGAAACATTGAGCTCTAGGTTCAGTGTCTCAAAAGCAATAAGGTGGGGGAGAAGACACCTCACATTGACATCGGGCCTCCACAAATATATAAATAAGTACATAAGTAAATATATAAATAAATAAATTTTTAAAAAGAGTTAATTTTAGGTATCTAAAATCCATATGGACCTAAACATAAACTGCAATCTAATTATATTAAGTATCAGCTATAATTCCAGCATTCCAGTGAATGCTGGTGTCTGGTTTACTTAATATAGTAGTCACGGGTAATTAGCTTTAACAATTTCCCTATGGTTGAAAAGGCCTCCAGACTCATTTTCTTAAATAGGTTAGGCGAGCTTCCTAGCATCTGCTCTTCTGTCACTAGAGTCCTACATGATTCGTGTGCGGCTTAGACCTGTTCTTTAACGCGGGCCAAGCTCGAGTGCTTTTGAATGATGTGGTTTTGCTGCAAGTCATGTGGAAATCTAGGGTAATTTCAGTGATCAGCATATGATTTATCACACTCATTTCTCATCAGGGGCAAAGGCATAGCTTTCTCCGGAGTCAGTCTCTGTTCCTAGGCTCAGGGGTTTCTAGGGGCATTCTGCAGGGCTCCTTCTCCAGCAGCTCCACTGTGACCCTGCAGGTGCTTGACATTTGTGAAATGGGGAATGAATTAGTTACTTTTCTTGTTAATGAAACCAAAACCTCGACCTCCTCACCGCCCCGCCCCCAGAAGAAAAAAAAAAAAAAACAACTTAAGAAAGGACTTATTTTGCTTAAAGTTTCAGGATCCAATCCTTCACAGGGACGTGAGGCAGCAGGTCACGTGACACCTGCAGTCAGGAAGCAGAGAGGAAAAACCCTGAGGAAAAAACCTTTCTCCTTTTGTTTTGGTCCAGGACCCCAGCCCATGGGGTGGTGCTGCCAACATTCTGGGTTGTTCTCTCCTCAGACCTTTCTAGACAGATTCTTACAAACACACGTAGAGGTGTGTTTCCATGGTGATTGAAATTCAGTTACGTTGACGACGAAGCTGTTCAGCTTCATTACAGGGACGTCACTCCATTTTCATCACGAATCTCCTGACTTCTCCCAGAAACTGCTACCTTGAGCATCCCGAAGAGGATGTGTTTTCCTGTCACATTTGCAACTGTGTTTGGGAAAAACAGTTCTGGTTTTTGAGTGCATATTCACAGCAGGAGACAGCTGTACCCAGACAAGCCCTCAGGTAAATTAAGAAGACTATTCATCTTTGGCTGGCCGGGTAGTACAGGCCTGGTACTGGAAAGGCTGAGGCAGGAGAGTTCAGCGCCTGCCTGGGGTTACAGAATGAGGCTGTCCCAGGCAGCTTAGTAAGACCCTGTCACCAAACAGTAAAAAAGGAGCCCAGAGACAAGCTCAATGGTAGAACATCTGCTAAGTATGTGTGAGGACCTTAGTTCAACGCCCCCAGTCCTGAAAAAACAAACATACAAAACCTAATCATTTTCTTTGGAGTGCCTCTCTCCTACTGTTCAAAAAGATGTCATAGTAACTTTAAGATTCAGGAGCTAGAGAGATGGCTCAGTACCAGAATAATCACTGTTCTTCCAGAGGACCTGAGTTTGGCTCCCAGCACCTATATCTGGCCTGTAGCTCCAGCTCCGATGCCCTCTTCTGGCCTCTGAGGGCACCCACCCATACACACATGAATCAAAATGAAATAAAATATTTTAAAACATTAAAATGCAAAAAAAAGTGATATAAATTGATTCTGTTTTTTATGAATCTGAGCATTCATGCATGCCTGGGAAATGCTTTGGTACTGAAATACATCCATAGCCCAAGGAATTTGAACTTTCTGTTATTTTAAGCACCCAGATACACTTCATTTAATTTTTTTTTATTGTGATGCTAGAGATCAAACCCAGAACCCTCATGCATGCTAGGCAAACACTCTGCTGCTGAGCCACTTCCTCCCAGCCTCTGGAATGTTCATTTTACAACTTCAGCATCACTCGCACGTAGCCTGCTATAAGGAATGCTCAAATTAAACAAACCCTTGATAGTCCTTCCTCCCGGACTAGTCACGGATCTCTTGGGTATCTGGACTCCATCCAGTTGAGTGCTCTCGTTTGTAGCCTGGGTGGGGCCATCCAACTCCCCAATGGCAAGATTTGCTCTTTGGGTACAGGAAGCAGAAATGCTGAGCAAAGTGCGGGTGTACTGGCTGGGAGAACAACAGTACCCAAAGCTCTGCTTCTTTTCTTTTTTGATCAGCACAGGGTCCTCAGCCTGCCCAGCCTGCTCACTTCAATCCCCTCAGAGGTCAAGGGGCAGGCGGGTCACTATCCTGAGTCACATCAACCAACGTGCCACAGCTCACCTGTGCTGCTGCTGTACATTCACAGAGCATGTTTAGAACAGATACAAGCATAGGTGGCTCATGTGGTCACCGTGCACACGAAGCACCAGAGGATCCCTGGTCAGTGGAACCCAAACAGCAGTCGGCCAGGGTACTATGCTGTCACTGCTTGGACAAATAGGTGTCCAGAGACTAACCTGCCACCCTCCTCTCCAGTCACTTAACAATAGTTTTCATCCTGGGACAAGAGATGGCCTCATTGAGCCACACAGGCTAAGTTCAAGTCCACCCCAGGTAGCCGTCACCAGTGAAGTCAGTTAGCCAAGAACAGATAATTCATTCTCACCAAATGTCCTTGGCCATGGCCTGGTCACTGTATTGATCAAGAAGTAGTTTTTGACTGCCTTCTCCATATCCTGTTGATGAAGGTGGGATGCTACCCTAGGTGATGGGGCTAGCCAAACACATGGTGCCTGGCCCTGGACAGATGAAATGCGGGTAAAGCTACAGAGTCACATACATCTGTAGCCTGGGGAACAAGGATACCTCACAGTATACAGAGCCACACCAGATTGCACTTAGGTACATGGGACAGTTAAGGGAGTACAGGCTGTGAGAGGCAAGTTCTGTGACATCTACAGGGTGGGGTCTCTGGTTCCTCTGGAAAGGCTATTGCCTTCTTTGAATAATTCTTTTTGTTGGCACTGAAAGGAATCCTGCTGCTCCAACATCAGCAATAAGAACAACATCCCAATAAGAACATTGTGTAGCTGGAGAGAAGAGTTGGGACCTGAACTTGTCCTCATTCAGATCCATCCCAATTTTACCAGATGCCAAAGCCTCTCTTAATTCTGAGTATTAATTTTAGGTTTTAAGCTGGAGTGTGTGCTTTCTTTACCAAGCTGTATTCTGTTCTTTTTGTCCCCCCTCCCCAGCCAAGGAGTGTGATGCAGTCACTTCCAACTGTCCACCAAATTCTGATGATCAACATCAGAATCAGGTAAGAATAATATTAACTATTTGTTGAACTGCAAAGACCCAGAGCATTTATAAGAATGATCTGAAAGAGCAGTAAAAATAAAAATGAGGACGCGCATAGCAGTGCATTCCTGTAATCCCTCCACCGAGAGGGCAGAGACGCCAGGATCATGGCTTCAAGACCAGACTGTGCTGTGTGAGACCCTTTCTCAAAAGACAAGAATTGATCTGGGGAGATGCTTGCTATGGAGGCATGAGGACCTGAGTTCAGATTCCTGGCACCCATGTAAATGCAGGTTGGTGTGGTGGCCTGCCTGTGATCCCAACCATAGAGAAGCAGAAACGGTGGGGGTGGGGCGCAGGAGTAAGCCAGCTAGATGGACTAGTGGAAGCTCTGAGTGCAAGTGAGAGGTCTTTGATATATACGGTGGAGGGTAACGTCAGGAGACACTGAATGTCAGGCTTTGACCTACACACACACTCAATAAAGCTCCACAAGGGTGAGTATCTAAAGGTGAACAGTAGAATTGCAGTAGCTCTCAGCCATTTCTTTGTTTTCCTTGTTTTATTCATGCAATCTAAGCTTTACAATATTAAACCTTTTATCATCAAAAGAAACGGGGGCTGGGGAGATGACTCATTCAGTAAAGTATTTGTCATGCAAGCTTGAGGACCTGAGTTCAGATCCCAGCACCCATGTAAAAAGGCAAGCACAGAAGTGTGTACCCACAATGTGGATAGGTAAACTCCAGGTTCTGTGAGAGACCCTGTCTCAAAAAATAAGGTGGGTAGTGCCTGGTCCTATCGGGTTCACATGTGCTCCTTTTCTCAGTGCTCACTAGCAACATTGTTTCCAGTTCAATCTCCTAAGCTACAGTTAGAGCATTAAGTGTCTCAGAAGCATGCCCCTAAGACAGGCTGCTTCATGCCTGTGCCTTCACACACCAAGTTGATTCCTAGCAAGTTTTGTTTAGCGATGCTTTAAAAACAACACTAAGTTTTGAGGAAGAGATGGAAAAGGACCTGCCAGGCAAAGGCCTAAAGGTTTAGTCAAGGTGGGCTGAAGATGTGTGTTAAGTTTGGGCTACTGATGGGGCCATTGTTGAACCGGAAAGTGGTTTCTCTTGGCGGTGGGAAAAGGAAGTATTACAGGAATTGAAGACTTTGAGACTTCTTACATTCTGAGAGCAGAGGGTCTAATTGGTGGATTAGCTAACTCTGGCGCTTTTTTTGTTTTGTTTGTTTGTTTCCATTCCCTAGAAATAACCCAAGATCAATTCTTTTTCTAGAATTTAGTCATTTATTTAACAGAGCAGTTTTAGGTCCACAGGAGAATCGAGTTGGAGGTACAGAGATTTCCCACCTAACAACTTCCGCACATACACAGCCTCCCACGTTGCAAACATCCTCTACCACGGTGGCACAGTTGTTACTGCTGGTAGACTCACATTGACACATCATCAGCCACAGGCCAGCATGTGCACTGAGTCTCATTCTGGGTGGTTTACATTATGTGGCTTTGGCCAAATGGTTAATGCCATGCACCTGCCATGACAGAATCACACAGGGCAGTTTCACTGTGCTAAAAATCCTTTGTGCTCAGCTGTTCAGCCGTCCCTCCCCTCAGCCCCTGGCAATCTCTGATCTTTTCATCATTTCTATAGTTTTGCCATTTCCAGGATGTCACAGAGTTGGGATCACACCATAGGGCTTCTTGCATTTAGTATTCAAATAGTATTCAAATCCTATATGCATTTAAACCTCTGTGTCTTTTAATGGTTGGCATTTCATTGCCTTTATGTGCTATGTAGTATTTCACTATCTGGATACACCACTGATTATCTATTTACCTACTGAAGGATATCATGGTTGTAAGAAATAAACCATTTTGATCCGTTTTCAGTATGGGGTATGTTTAGAGCTCTTCAAAGAATCACAGATAAGTAGGAGGCATGAGGCCCTAGTTTCCCCTAGCTGGCCACTGGTGCCAGCTTGTCTAGATGTTGGCAGTTTGTTCTGGGTTGAAAAGTTATAGGGAGTCTGCTATATAGCTGAGCCATAATAAAAAGGGGGGGGGATTTTAGACCTCGGGATATGTTAGATAAAGCTTTGCATCCTAAACCACTAGGATGGAAAATTTAGTGGGAATTATGCTAAATGAGCATGGAGATTGTAGCTCTCTGGAGAGCAGACTATGGGACAGAGGAGGCAGCGAGTTTTGGAGATCATTAAAAAGCCATTGTCTGCCCTAAGTCAATGGTGCTAGCCATTTTTGCCTTTTCTCTAGAATTCTACAGAATTGGAAAATAAAAATAGTGTCACTGTCTCTAGTGTCTTGAATTTGTCATTACAGAGTGAGGGTTTTTTTTGTCTCACAATGGTTGCCTCAATGTTCTGGCCCTTAGGAAAAATCAGCTCTAAGCACCTGTGTGCAGGTTTGGGCATGTACAAGTGTCCAGGAGTATGCCTGCCGGCCGGCAGGGTAAAAAAGTTCAGTTTTGTAAGAAGTTGACACCACAGTGTGACTTCCAGAGTGACAGCTCCATGGTGAGTTCTCACCAGAAGCCAATAAAAGTTCAGTTGCACCACATTATCCGGCATTTGGTGCTCTCTGTGTTTTGATTTTTTTTGGCTATTCTAAAAGGTGTATAGTGGGTGTTTTAATTTGCATTTCTGTAATGGCAGGTGGTGTGGATAGAATGTCTTTTAATATACTAATTTTCTATCTGTATATTTTATTTATAAGGAGTGTTTAGGGATTTTGCTTATATTTTGAAGATGCATTTATGTATTTATTTTTATTTTAAGTGTGTGTTGCCTACATGTATATAAGGGTACCACAAGCATGCCTGGTCCCTGCTAAGGCCAGATAATAGTGTAGGGTTCCCTGAAACTGGAGTTACAGTTCTGAACTGCTCCTTGTGGTCCTCTGCAAGAGCAGCCAGTACTGTTAACCACTGAGCCATTTCTCTAGCCCAGTTTTGCCTGTTTTTAAATTGGCTCCTTGTGTCCTTTTCGTTGGGTTTTAAGGGTTCTTTGCATATCTTAGATGGTTTATTATTCAAAGTATCTTTTGCAAATAATTCTCTCCTGATATGTTTTTTGTGTGTTCTTCTTTTTTTTTTTTTTTTTTTTTTTTTTTTTTTTTTTGGTCAGGGCCTTTAGTGGAGCAGACATTATGGGTTTTTTTTGGGGGGTGGTTGGGTTGTTTTGGTTTGGTTTGGTTTTTTTGAGACAGGGCTTCTCTGTGTAACTTTGGAGCCTGTCCTGGAACTTGCTCTGTAGACCAGGCTGGCCTTGAACTCACAGAGATCCATCTGCCTCTGCCTCCCAAGAGCTGGGATCAAAGGGCGTATGCCACCACCACCCAGCTCAAACATTGTTTAATGAAGTCCACAGGGACCACTGAGTAGGAAAATGTGTGGCAGTGGAAAGGGCCAGGGAGACACTGTGCCAACATACATGTTCAGGTAGACTTTGTGATCTTATTTAAAGCCTCTGGAACATACAGCTTTCCTGGAGGACATTTACCTATCTAGGTGTTTGGCAGGCCATTTGGATTAATATTTGTTTTTTTTTAGTGAATATGCAAAATGATAGGATTAGGAAGGCATTTTAAAACATAATTTGTTTTTGTTGCTCCTCCTTCCTTCTACCCTAGTCCCTGTACCTCCCCACTTCTGTCTTCCTTTTCTACTTTCACAACACGTTTCCTGTTACCTTCCTCTCTTCGTTAAGTTAGGGACAGTGGCACCTATTTTTCTTTACCTGAAAGCCTCCAAGACAATAATCTTGGCCTGGGGATGAGATTCCACTGATAGAGCATCCACCTGCCATGTAGAAATCCCTGGGTACCATCCTCAGAACCATGTGAAAACCAGCATGGTGGCACACACCTGTAATCCCAGCACTTGGGAGATGGACGAAGAAGGACAGGAAGCTCAAAGTCATTCTCAGTTGCAAAGTGAGTTTGAAGACAACCAGAACTACATGAGATCTTGCCTCCTTCAGGATGTCAGGGTATATATACATATCCTATAATTCTCTTGGCATTTTAGAACATCAAGTCTTTACTCAGGTCCAGAGGTAGTTCTGTAGAACAGAAGAAATCCTGTTCTTCTGGCTAATAATCTGAGTTCTGCAGTTTCCATTCTTGGGTTAAGCTACTGACTACAACTTTGTAACCTGGTGATATCTGACTAGATTCCTAGGATAACTCACCATCTTGATAACTGTAGCTTCATAGTGTGTTTTAAAGCTAGGTGATTAGAACCCACTGCTTTCCAACAATTGACTATTCTGGATTGGAGGAAATCCACTTTCTGTATCAATTTTAGAATCAATTTGTCAATATTCAGAAATAGTTTGCTGGGACTTTGCCTGGGATTGAGTTGACTCTGTAGGTCCACTTGGGGAGAACTGATGGCCTATACCAATTACTGTTTCCCAGTTTTCCAAAGATGACAGGCACTGAGGGGACCTCTTTAGGTATCCCTTCTACACCCTGTGAGTGGCCTTATTTCTTACAGACCTGACTATATATCCCAGTATGTTTTGCACATTCTACATAATGACCTGTGTTTGAAGGCCCTAGGGATTTATTAAATCTTTACCAGCTTTTCTACTAATGATGAAAATACACTGTAATAGAATAGAAAAATGGACTATCCAGGAAATAATTCCATTGATATATATGTAGTAAATAATTTCTAATAAATGGTGATTTAGTTTTGCTTAGATTATACATTATTTTAGACACATATACATATATAAAAAAGCATCACCTGTTTTCTGTAGATTTAACTAAAAAAGCAATGCCCTATGGTTGACCTGAGCCCTTTAGAGATGGCCATCTTGCTTGTCTTGGCCATTCCCACATTGCCCCCCAGAGGCCTGACATTTCTCAGTTGGCAGCAGTTGATGTACCAGGCCACATCAACCTAGAGAGATTGTGGATTTTCCCTCCACTTCTGAAGGGCACTGGGCTGAAGGAACAGCCTGTATGGTTGCTTACCAGACCTC